TTAGCTTTTGTTTCTCTTAACAGTTCTGGATTAACATCTATATGTTCCTGAAATTGTGGCTTTACTTCTAGTAAATGGTAAAATAAAATTATGTAGATTGAGATGCTAATAAATTTTTGTATAAAACTCTTTATTCTCTTTATCCTTCATAATGACTGGATTTGTGATATTTGCTGCAACTCAGCTGTAAATTTATATAATGATTTTATTTTATCATTTTACTATAATTCAAACCAGAATATCTGGAGTTCCCAATAGTCTTCAATTTTTTTCAAATAGTCATACACTAACACTTACTCCTCTGTACATGTCAACTGTGAAATAACTGTCACAATGTAGCAACATTTTCATAGGAAACTTATGTATATATAAAATATTTATTTGAAATTCTCCTTGTGCAATTTAAGTTCTAAAGATGTAAAAACCACATGTTTACAAAATATTAAAATAATATTAGCTTCCCATTAACTTGACACTAATTTCATAATCAAATAAAAAATACAAGCTGTCTTACATACTAAAAATTAAAAGTCAAGGTTAAACTAAACACATTTTGATATCACCAGTTTTCTAGATTCTGCTTTTAGCATAACATAACTCATTAATATTTAACATAACTTATAAATATTTCTGATTACCAAGTAGTATCAATGTAGTATCAGATTTATGTTCACCTAGTTAATATACCATACAAATACAAGCTAATTTATCTTTTTGTCAAGGTAACCAATGCAGAAGATGCAAGAAAATCAAAACAATCAGCAGGGAAGTCAACAATAGCCACATCAGTAATTTCTGGACCATGAGAGACAGAAGTCGCATCTATCAGTGTGGGGGCAGAACACACTGCACATGGCTGTGGAGCCAAGAGTCAAGAGAGGCATCTGGGTTGGGTAGCTTTTCAGCAGTTTGCTTCTGAGGGCTGTTTGCATCAACAGCTTCTACTGACTGCAGAGCATTTCTGTGACTGTTCTCATCACTTTGATGTGGGAAGTTTTTTACAAGGTGGAGATGGTGCTTTTTGCTCTGGCCTTTTCAAAGATTAATTCTCTAAGGCTATGCAGGAGCTCTAAAAATTTGCAATCTGTTCTCACTACACGTACTCCATAGAATGTCACCCTAAGTGAAGTGAGTCACAGAAAAAGTCAAGAACCATATGATTTCACTCATATGTGGGATATAAAACTGAAAACAAGAAGACAAACAAAAACTCATAGACCCAGACAACATTATGGTGGTTACCTAAGGGAAAACGGGGTAAGGGGTTAGTAAAGGTTAAAGAGGGACAAAGATATGTTGACAAAAGGAGATGTGACTTTGTGTGGTAACCACACAATGCAATATACAAATGACATATCATACATTTGTACACATGAAACCTAGGTAATTTTATTAACCTCTGTCACTCCCATTAATAATAAAATCTGGCCTCCTTTGGGTGTAGCCAATTTCTTGTGGGCGCTTTGAGACTCTAGAATTGGAGGTGATGGAAATTACATCTTCTTAGGTTTCTTAGGTGGATATGATGGCAGTTTGAAACACACAGTTTGGAAATTATATTGAACCTCATGAAAGTCAGACAAGACTTACCTATTAGAACTATTAGAGGGATACTTGCAAATTGTTCCTACTTTTTTCTTGACTTTTTTGGAAAAAACAAAAACACCTTTATTTTCTTTCTCCTTTATAATACCTAGGTTTTGTAATATTTGTCAAGACTCTATGCTGATGTCTATTATATGCTATTATTTTGGTCCCAGACTATAAAGAGGTTTTGTTGAATCGAGAGGTTCCTGAGATGGATTCCTCAGCTACAGGGTGTGTTAACCAAACTCACATTCACTGCGTATAGCAGGGGTACATGAACTATCACTGTTAGTCTTCCGAGTTTTCTCTTCTTTCTCTCTCTTTTTTTAACAGTTGTAATAGCTGTATCACCATGAAAAATAAGAATACGCTCTGAATTTGGGGAGAAGGCAGACAGTAAAAGTCAGGTATCATTTTTAAATGATTCATTTCAATTGACTAAAGAATGTACTAGTTAACAGTTACAGACAGCTTAAAAAGAAAAAGGGCTTCCTTATATCTGAAAAAAATCAAACATTAAAACAAGATCTACAGTAAACACAGTACAATTTATCAGTTACTTCATTTATGTTAGCAATTCTTACTCCACTAGGTCTTGGGCTAGTGGTCTCATGAAATTGTCCATTTCTCAAATAAACAGAGCTCTGGAAATCCTGAGCAGCACCCTGGAGCATTGTCCATGCAAAGCCATTGACATCTGTCCCCAGGAGTCTATTCCTGGGAGCTAGGAAGTTTGAGGTGCCTGGTGCTGTCTTTCTGCTATGAAGGTTCTGAAGTGCTCTCTCTTCAATGAAGCACAAACTCTATCCTTTAGTTATAGATACTTCGATGCTTCAGACAAGCTTCAGAGTAAAAGAAAACTGACTTTAGATAACAACTATACATCCCCCCCTCCCATTTTAAAATTGAAGTACAAAGAAGCTGAGTAGCTCACGCAGGGTCACAGAGGAAATGAGTCAAGGATTTCCACCAAGCAGCGTGGTTCTTACACCGTGGAAGCACTCAGCATGGGGGCCTGTCCGCTGGTGCTCTTAGCAAAACGACTTACCTGGTGAGCAAAGTCGGAGGTCTCCTCCCAGCCCTAAGAGGCTGAAACTGCACAGTCAACCCTCTCCGTCTTGAATTTTGAGGTGTGACTTTGTGATCCACTTCCCTCAAGTAAGCACCACGGGGACCCGCGGTTTGAAGCTGTCTTGCCAGATTTGACTGGAGGGAATTTAATTCCATCCACCCCTGTGAACTTTGAAAGGCTGAGACAAGACCACTGCTAACTATGTCATACCCTGTGTGCATATGAGAAAAAGCAACCCTGGGGAGGGTTGCAGGAGAGCAAATTGCTCTTATATATAGGAATCTCATCCGAGTTGAAGAATTACAAAGCTGCCCCTTCTTGGCTGAGGCAGTGCTACCACAACCCACCCAAATGCAGAGCTTTTGGGTGTTCTTAAACTGATCACTCCTTTCAGTTTTCTCTATTATAGGCGTAGGGTTCTTTGTTAATCCAAAATATATTTTTAAAGTACCTTCTGCCCTTCCAACATCCCAATTGGATTATTTGGCTTAGAGATCATGAGATTCTTTACAACTAGCTACAGATCAACTGTGTAGCTTGAAGAATTTAATAATAACCCACATATTGGAATATCAACAAGTCCATATAGGTATACTGCCTGCAGAATGGTAGATTTGTTATTACTCCCCGTAGAGAGATGAATGTCTTCATCATGTTTTCCTTCTGTTCCATGATGAAAGTGGAGGACTCTACAGAACAGTCAAGGGAGGAAACAACTTAAAGGGGGTAAGCAAAAGTAAGTTTACACTCCGTGCCAAAGTGTGCTTGAGGATAGCGAGCAAACTACAAGTAAGTGTGAATAATGACGGCTGGCAACAAACAACTGCAAACCTACTTTGTCCACCCTCGTGTTTGGTCTCAGCGGGAGGAAGTGGTGCACAGAGCACAGGTTTTATTCTTTCTGCGGAGGCGGCAGGCAGCAGGCGAGCAGGGGCACAGGGTGGGAAGGGGTGGGGAGGACTGAAAGGGTAGGTGGGGGCAGTCTGTCCTTGCTGGAATCAATATTCCATCGCCTTACAGGGCAGGGCCGCACTCTCCTGTGGTTTCTACTCCCACTGGCCCCTTTCGGTGTCTCAAACTGAGACTTGGAGAGGGAAGGCGCTGACAGTTTCTATATGAGCAACCCAGCGTCTCCCGTGCAGAGTCGGCTGGGGCGGAGTTTCCCAGGAGCTCACTGGGAGCTGTGAGGCTTTACCCACCACCCTCCCTGAACCATTTTCCAGCCTGGGGCTCAGGGCCGGGTCCCACATCCTCCAGACCACCACCCAGAAGTGGGGGGCCAGCCTGGCTGCCTCTGGACAAGGGAGGCAGAGACACTGGCACAGCATTTGGACGAAGTGGAGGTCGTTGTAGACTCTGACAGGAGCAGTTTTGATGAAGTGGTAGGAAAAAAAGACTTACAAATGGGTTCAAGAGCGAACTGGAAGAAAGTGAAGAGGGGAATTATAGACATCTCTTTTAAAGGGGATGTGCTGTAAAAGGAGCACAAAAATGGCTGATAATTGTAGTCATTGCAGTGCAATCCTGAGGAAAGCTGCTTATCTTTAACCCAAAGGGATTCCTGTTCTAGACTGTGCTTTAGGTCAACTTTAGGAGTTAGATCAGTTAGCTTAAAATTATTGATTGGTTTATTGTTGACAGAGAGCTATGATCTTAGGGAATATATACAGTACAAGACAAATCAGTCTGTTTTGTTTTGTTTTAATTTTATTGAACTTATTGGTTGTGACCTTAGTTAATAAAATTATGTAGGTTTCAAGTGTGCAATTCTACAATACATCATCTGTATATTGTATTGTATGTTCTTCACCCAAATTTAAGTCTTTTTCCATCACCGTTTATCCCCACTTTGTCCTTTTCTACCTGTCCTCACCATCCCCCTTTCCCTCTAGTAATCACCGTAGTATTGTCACATTTATAAGGTGTTTTTTTTCTTGGCTTAATCTGTTCACCTATCTCACCTAGCCCCCCACAACCCCTCTCCCCCCTGACAGCTGTCAGTGTGTCCTATGTATCTATAAGCCTGTTTCTATTTTGTTCATGAAATTACAAGTGAGTTTGGGTGGACTGGCCAGTGATGGAGAAAATCTTGATACATGTGCTATTGCTGAAAAGGGTGGGCTGTGTAGAGGACAACAGAGGCAGAGCAGGAGCATCAGAGTTTCAAAGCGGGCACTAGAAACTGGGAAGGAGAACACTGAAGAAACAGCATTGAAGGGCAACAGAAAAGCATCCCTTCACAATTTAGCTCAAAGCACACCATGCTGACACTCTTCTCGTTATCTTTTCATTTTGCCACCAGGGGTCTCTAGAGGTCAGCTATGCTCACCACAGAGGAAGCCTTACGAAAAAACATGCTAATGGGTTCTAAGAAAACTGAGACGTGGTCGAAGAGCAGAGCACTGGAGAGAGGCATATGGCAATGGTCATGGTCCGGGACATGAATGAACTGGTGAGGACTTGAATGCATGACTGAATAGGACTTTGGCCATATCTCTTACATTTAGATATGCAATGCTGTTAGTATCATTTATTATAAATACTCTAATTACTATTGGAAATTCTTTTCAATTCAAGAATTGTTTAAAAAAGTGCTTTCCTTTCTTCCAGGTATTGAGTTTTTTGTTTAAAGTGTTTAATAATTTATAAAATAATGACAAAATATTTAACCATGTAATTTTTTTAAATAAAGGATGTGTTTTTTGATGTATCTCACAAATATGCCCTATTATTTATATAATAGCCTGTTATAGCCTACTGAATCTTTAGTCAAGTGAACCCAGTAAATGTAGTATTGTATGGCAAAGCTTCATTTCTGTATGTTTTACATATATTTTAAAACATTTCTTTAGATAACTTTTAATCTATACTTATGGTACATTAAAGTTCAGGGTTAATTATTCATTGAAGAAATACTGACTGACCTACAATGCCTGCCAATGTTTATATTTTCTAATGTTTCCATTTATAATATAAATTTTGTTTACATTTTCTAATGGTTAGATTAGCAATAAATAATAAAAGTAAGTAAATTCTGTAAAGGGTAATAAATATTAAAGAAGGAGAAAAGGTAAGAAAGTGTGAAGAATGTGAGCAATGGTAGTGGTGTAGACTATCAGGTAAGATAGTCAAAGTCAGACATACATAACGAGCAATGGCTTCAGAGGGGTGAGAGAAAAAGCCAATAGATGACGAAGGAGATAAATTAGAAAACAGACTATCACAGTGAAAGAGAGAAAGACCTAGAGAGAAGGAAAAGGCCTGTGAAAAACAAAAGTATGGCCAGTATGTTCTAGGAACAGCAAGAAGGTAAAAATGCCTGGAGCTGAGTAAATGAAGGGACAGCCAAGGTAACAAAGTGAGATCATGTAACAGGCCACTGTAAGGACTTGGGCTTTTCTTCTCTGGGAAATGGGAAGTCATTATGGGTTAAAAGGAAAGTAAGAATATGATGTGGCTTTATTTTTGTTTTAGGAATCAATTTGGTGTCTGTGTGGACAAACGACTATGGAGGACAAAGAAGCAAGGAGGCAATTACAGAGACAGAGTTTACTAAATGGAACAAAGTCTAAATTATATTACAATACATAATAGTATAGTTATAATATAGAACAATATCTATATTTACTGAAGTTACTGTCTTAATATGAAAATGTCCTTAATGAACAGACAAATCATATTAATTACCATGCACATAAATTCATGCTTTTCTATAAGCATTGAACTCAAAAAGTTCAATTGTTTATTTTAATCACTGTGTTTATATATGCTGATCATTTTCTATATGCAAGAGTTACTCAAGTAGTTTCTGGATTTCTCCCAGAGTGAACTGATCCATGTGTAGCTGTATTCTTGGCGCATCCATAGGGAAAGGGAATTCTAGGAGCCTCCTGTGTTGCCATCTTGGTGACATCTGTGTTCAGTGCATATCTTTAGCCTTTCTCACCTTGCTCTTTCTCAGTGAGAAGAGCAGCCTTTCTCACCTGGATAATATGAGAGAATTAAGTCCCACAGAGAATGATTTACATGACTGTTTTCTCAGTATTTTCAAGGATAATGCATACATAGTACATTTCTGAATGCATAGGAGAGAAGGTAATTCATTACATCCATCAAGAATTTAGGAATCAATTCTGTTACAGAAGTCTGGATGAGAAGGGTTAGCATTCTGGGCTTGTCATTTCTTTTTCATTTTCCTAGAACTTTTAGAAGTATTCAGCCCAGTACTACATGTTAAGCAGTAAAAATGCTTGCTCTCAATGGGTGCTTCATTAATGGTGAAAAGGAGATTATTTAATTACCTTTTCCACCAATATGTGATATGGACAGCTGAATTTTTATCCACAAATATTTACATAACTTTCATTGGTTTCTACCTCAGTTGTGTAGATAAAACTTACCTATGATCTTCCTCCTAGCTTTTCCAAAGATATACAACCTGAACACTTTATAAAGTACATGAGATCTGGGAAAGAAAGGTATAAAAATATTTTACAAAATATTATATACTACCATGCTAATAATACCTGAGAGAAAAGGATTATGACAATCAAAAACTGGAATTTTGATGCCAGTTGGCTTCATAGTAGACCTCAGGGAGCTCAGATCCATCTCCTGGTTGTTTATTCAGTTCCCAATTGTGTGGTTATGATTGGTGTAACTAGCGATGATCAGAATCCCCACCTTTGACTCCTAGAGTTGTGGAATAAACACATTGGACTAGAAGTAAAAAAGCGTTCTGCTTATCTTATCCCCAAGGAACTAGAAATTGCTACTCATGCTCACACTTTCCCCCACTGCCTCCTCATTTCACTCACTTCTGATTTCAGGTCTCACAACAATGCATGTAATTGGTTGAAACTACATCACTTATCTGTTCCCTGGCATCAAGGTAATCCAGAAATGGAGTTCTCTCACTTATTTCTTTGGAGATGAAAGCCATATTTTGGGTAATTACCACAATATATATATAAAAAAAAGGCCATTAAATGGCCTGAGGCAAAGAACCACACCATTTTATCGGCCTTACCAAATTTGTTGCAGGATGATATAAATTTAGAACAAGACATTATGGGGGATTGTTGCAAGGAGGTTTAAGAATGAGTTATATTGAAGTGCCTATTCTTCCTTCTTGCAGAGATAGAAACATATGACTCTGGGAGTCAAGGTGTGGATTTGGCAATGGCTATTGTAAAATATTTATTTTTCCCTTTGCAGACAATGGACTTTTCTGATTTAAAGGTTTTAGAACCCAGGAAAGAAATATATTTTCATTAATATGATTAAGAATTCCACTGAATTGGAAGTTATTATCTGGACATTTGGGGACTCACATGTCCCTGCCTCTGGTGTAACACATAAAAACTCTCAGGAAAAAACAGATTTACTAATACAAGCTGAGGATGGTAGGATAAATGAAACCAAGATAATCTTACAGAAACTGTTCTTGTGCCACAATGCAGCAGACTGATCACTTCTACACATAGTTCATTCAGGGGTGGGGGGGTTATAATTTGTTGACTTGGGCTGAGGAACATACGTACAAGAAAAAGTTCCAAGAACTTTATTTAATATATAATTCATTCTGATTAAAATAATATAATATCTATTAAGCCAGCACTGTGCTTAGAGATCTGAACTTCAATTATACAGGGTGGGGTAAAAGTAGGTTTACAGTTGTTTGTATGGAAAATAATACAGTAATTAATAATAATTAATAATACAAGGGTTTTGTACAATAATACTCTCTGTTTTGCACACTCACAATCATAAACCTACTTTTGCCCCATTCTAGATAATGGGAATTGCAAGAATAATACAAGAAAATTATATAACTGTAGTTACAAGGAGCGCAATGGCACATATTTTCAAGCTAATCTGAAGCTAGAATCATTTTGTATTCATCTTTGTACTTCAAGCATTTTGGTGGGTCCTTGGAACACATCTGACTCTCCCCAATATTTTTTTAATTTAATGTAATCTGAAAAGAATAGGAAAGGCAATGCTTATGGCCAAAGCATAATAAAGTACCTAGTCCTCTGAGATTTATAAATATTAGAGTTCTTAAGTGCTAACAGGCTTGCCAAAAGAACTTTTTACCAATAAGTGGTAATATTGGCCTACAATAATATGTTTATATTTTAAATACAGATACACTATGAAAACACTTTAAAACTCATGGATAAAAGCCTCGTGAGAAAGACCTTTCTACTTGAGAAACTGAAAGAAGTCCCACTAGCTCTGAAGTAGGGCAAACTTGTTTATAACTCATTTGCTTTTGTTATAGAATTTTGTTGAGTTTAGACTTTGTTATATAAAGTGGGGCTTGAAAAACAAGCCCCACTTTATATAACAAAATTTGTGTTATTCTAAAGCTATGTAAGTGTAAAAGCAAAGAGTGCCAGTTCTCCACAACTTCAAAAAGCACCCTTTACTTTTTATAATCCTGACCTTCATCAGCTACACTGACTCCATACAAGGTCATGTCTTAATGCTCAGCCCCACCAGCCTTAGGTTTAATCTTGATACTATTCATTAAGTAGGCTAAAATCAATAGCCTTGGATATTGCAATATAGGAGACAGTAAATGTGATTTGATTTAAATATTAAAAAAGGAAATACTTTCACCAAGTTTAACTGACTTTTTTTTTGTTCAATTGCATATTGCAAAGGCATTATCAAAATTAGGTATTCCTACACATATGATGAGGCAAAAACTAGGTAATTCAAAATGTTAACTTGTTTCAGATATGGACCAATTGTTTAAAAAGTAAGATCAAAGACATGGACAGAATGGGATCTAAAATACAAGTCATGAAAGAATTGTCCCCAAATGCAGAAAGAACACAATCATCCTACATAAAAAGAAAGAAGCGAGGAAAATGGATTGAAATATATTTGAAACTGTGTGACAGATGTGGAGTGAAATCACATGTGATGTTCTCAATGTTATTGATATAATAATTTAAAACTTTGAAAAAGTAAATGAATTCACCCATAATGCAGAGTGACTTGCTTAGCTGGGCCACCAAAAGTTTGGCTCTAAAAGGGATTAATTTGTATAGTTGTGCTATTTCTTCAAAAGTAAGCCATGCTTTTTTTAAAGTATATTATTTTTGTTCAGGGCTTTCTAGAACTTAAAAAAATTACAATAAAAATATTGCATTTATTTCTCATTGTTTGATGTGAAATAATTAGTTAGTAGTTCCTCTCTTTACTTTTGTATAATACCTTGAAAATACCACAGGTCAATGAACAAAAGGAAACATACACCACTCAGATCTTTAAAGGCTTTCAACAAAGACCTTAGTGATTTCTTGACTTTAGAATGTTTTCTAATCCCAAACAAGTGCTTTCTTATTTATATAATCTTAAGTTTATAAATGAAAATGCCTGGTTTTGTAAGAGTTCAGTTATATTTGGATTTTCTTTTTAGTCCGGATGGATGGAGTTGATTGGGAAGACATTTCCCCATGTTTGTGTTGGACTATATTAATCAAATATTGTTGTACTAATTTTGCACAATTCCAGGCCAATTGGGCAGAGTCCAACACATAGCAAACAACTGATCCTCCTTCCTGGAACAATGCAAATCACTGCTTTGGAACCTCTCTGTGGCTTGGAATATAATCTAACCAAAGAGATGAGCTGTATAAACATGGGGAGAATCACAGAGATTATGTACTTTACAATGACCATATTCCACAAAAACAAATGTGAGGCTAGATCAAAGAATTTTACTCTGCTTACTCCCAGTGTCTAGTTCACCTTATGTTTCTTAACATTTATTTTTTACTAAGTGCCAATGATTGTTTTAAACACTTTTATCCTTGTAAAACACATTTCACCATCATAAAAATACTGAAGTTTGGTACTGTTTTGTTTTTTCATTTTGAAGATGAAAAAGTAGTTTCCAGGAGGTTTCAACATATCCAATATCAATCAGTCTGTAAATGCAAGAGCTGTTAAAAAAAAGCCACAGGCTCAAAATCGTGTCACTTGTGCTAAAAACCCATGGAACTGGAACCAGGCAACTTGGGGTCCAGCCGCTTGCTGCCATGTACAAGCTTAACACAAAGATTTGGGGGGAACAAAAGAGGTTTTCATTAACAGGGTACCCAATTGGGGGGACCTGAGAGCATTCCGGCTCCTAGCCAACCTCTTCTGCAAAGCACAGAAATTCCCATGTTCCCAGACAGACTGAACTCTAAATCCTTGCCCCAAAGTTTTCCATTATTGCTTATCTGTCCTTTTGCAGCTCAAGACAGCTACACAAACGGGTCTTCATCTTCAGGCTTCCTCTCTCTCTGGTGCACACTTGTGGGTTTTAGCGTTGCCATGGCCTCACACAGTTCTCTCTCGCGCTCCCCTGGGCCTGGGGTGTGCTGCCAGATCACTCCAGACGGTCACGCAGGAGAAGATCCATCCGTTGGACGCTGGCGCAGGAGGCTGCCTGCACCCCTGCGGCGGGCAGAGGAACATTCCCAGCTCATGCTTTCCTATGTTGCTCCCAGCTTCCACGTGCTGCTCTCAGGCCAAGGGAGTGGAAGCAGTTCATGACCTGTGCAGTGTGTTGCACAGTGTTGTAGTATCCCAACAGCTGGTGCCCAGCGAGGCACACCTCCCAGCACGGGATTCCACCACTGTGCGAGGCCTAAGCTCCAAGTGGGCCCAGCATCTGCCAGCCCGGTGGGCACTCCGCAAGCACACCCTAACCGGGCGTACATGGCAAGCAAGACAGAGAGGCTTCTGTGCATGTTCCGTTTTAAAGCCGCCTTCCAGAATCCCACTGCTGTGGGAGTGTCCAGCTTTTCAACCAATGTGAGCCAATGTCGGTCATGTTTGTCATAACTGTCTTTGTCGCTGTTCCAGTCACCATTTTGCAGAAGGGAACAGATGTTTCCCAGCTCTGCACAGGCACACAAGTGTCTTGGCCCCA